TATTCTCCTGTGGAATGCTCATGGCCTATCAAAACACGTACTCGAGGTTAAAACGCTATTCAAGTCTAATAATATAGATATTCTCCTAATATCCTCAACCCATTTCACCGAAAAGAGCTATTTCCAAATACCGAATTACAAACTCTATCACACAATGCATCCCGATAAAAAAGCACATGCTGGCTCAGCTATATTAATAAAAAACAATATTAAACACTTTAATATTAACTCATACTGCACAGAAGCTATCCAAGCTACTAATATAGTTGTCGAGGACTTGAAAGGCCAAATAACAATCTCAGCAGTATATAGCCCACCCAAACATGCGATCAGGTCAGAAGATTATGTTAAATTCTTCAAAACTCTAGGAAGCAGGTTTTTAGCTGGAGGAGACTACCACGCGAAACACCCACAATGGGGATCTCGCCTTATCACTCCTAAAGGCCGACAACTCTTTGCGGCTATGGCAAGATTAAATCCTCACTCAGCCTCCTCAGGCTCACCAACGTATTGGCCAACCGATACCAAAAAAATTCCAGACTTAATAGACTTTTGCGTGTTTAAAGGTGTTGCAGATAATGAACCAAAAAGGTAATCCCTGTTTCGATTTATCCTCCGACCATTCTCCCGTAATGGTCACTCTAAGCAATAATCTTGTTGACTCAAATTCTCAGTGTTCCCTTCACAACAACAGAACTGACTGGAATCTCTTCCAAAGCCTTACATCTTCAAAATTAAATTTGAAAGACTCGCTGAAATCTAGGGAAGATATCATTGCAGCTGTTGAACACTTCAATAACTGCATCCAACAAGCTGCTTGGAGATCAACACCCATTCTAAGCAAATCACAGTGTACAATAATCCCTTCTCTTGTAAAAGATAAACTGACCAAAATAGAAAGAAGTGGCACCAGACTAGACATCCCGAAGACAAATCAAGATTAAATACGCTAACGAGAGAGCGCAAAGAAATCTTGCAAAAAGGACGCAATTCCCAACTTCATCATTACCTCAGTAACTTAGATGCAACAGCTGCCAGCGATTATTCCCTCTGGAAAGCAGCAAAAAAATTAAAGAGACCAACTCTGGCACAACCCGCCATCAGAATTGAAAACAACCAATGGGCTAAAAGTGATCTCGAAAAAAGCAAGCACATTTGCACGTCACCTAAAAAATGTGTTTGCTCCGCATGAAATTGAACCCTCTCCCTATACTGCACAAAAAGTAAGACAGACTCTCGAACAACCCTACCAAATGGACCCACCCATAAAAAAATTCTCAGAAGCTGAGGTTAAGGAAGCGATCAAAAAACTCAAAGCTAAGAAGGCTCCCGGT